TTGGTATTATGCTGAAGTTTCTCAAATAGTCACATAGTGCCTTTATTCATGACTCTGAATAAGTCAACAGAATTTGATTTTAATGCAAACTTAATTAAAACTTAAAAGGGGCACAGTAGAGCATCATTGGTTTGAAGTTTTTAGAAAAAAAATTGAATTCAGAGCTTGCCACTGATCCCATATTCCCCCTGTCATGAACCCAAAGTGGATAGAATAGTCACATTTTTTTAAAGAATTAACAGCAAATGTAAGGTGCATCTTTTGTACTGTTAAAAATTGGATTTTTTTCTCTTCCCTTGAGAAGCCACAGTGAACAATAGCATACTCTTAAAGAGAAAATTGCTGAACACCAAGGCCATGTTTCTGAAAACTAAGTACATAAAGAATAGAGATGTATGCTTAGCATTTTGAATCAATTATCACTGGAATCCGGTTATAACATTCAGAATAGAAGCCCTGGAGTCAAGGTTTTCTCTCAGCATATTCACTGCTTTTAGCAGGCTTACCTTGGACATCTATAAAAGAATTACTATTTTTTCAAAATATAATTTTCTAACAGATAAAGATTTTTATTGTATAAAAGTGGATAGAAAATGAAAACTAGTTATGTTCTTAAAGTATAGCAGTGAGATACTTAGCTATACTTAGTATACTTAGTAACTGCCAGTGGATTTAAAGCTTGATTGTCATTGATTAGTCAGTCTTTATTTTGACAATGTATATCCTATCCTTTAATGTCAGTACAAGCAACAAATTGGAAATTTGTATGTATGTAAAACATTATTTCTTTGTGGTTGAGAGGAAGGGGAGGACATCTGTAATATATTATATGTATATGTAGATATATATATTTTGATTTTTGATTTTTTTGGTTGGTCGTGGGGCTTGAACTCTGGGCCTGAGTGCTGTCCCTCAGCTCTTCAGCTCAAGGCGAGTGGCTCTTGAGCCACAGTGTCACTTCTGGTTTTTCTGGAGGTTAATTGGAGATAAGTTTCATGGATTTTCCTGCCTGGGCTGGCTTTGAACAGCAATCCTCAGATCTCAACCTCCTAACTAGCTAGGATTATAGGCGTGAGCCACCAGCACTCCACCATATACATAATTTTAAATGATGCTAAACAATTTATGAAAAGCAGGTCAAAATATAATAATATTACATGTTATGTATTTATATATACTTATATTTATATATTTGGTGATGCATATAAATATATAACATGTAATTAACAATATTAAAGTATATTTGTTCAACTAGGGATAAAAGTTCTTATTGACTGACATATATTTGAATTTCTTTTACAAAAACAGTTTTACATTCTTACATGGAATATCAATTTGTGTTGATGTTTCTTCAGCTAAAATTATTTGATTTTGATATACTATATATTCCAGTGAAGACTGTGATTTAATGAATAACATTAATTACATCTTAAAATCTTTATAAATGAAGAAACATTAACAAATCAAGTTTCTTCAGGTTATTTCAGTATAGAGTCATTGTTTGAGTGAATAATGTAGTTTCATAATTGAAAGAAATTTTCTAGGGAATTGTTTCTAAATTTGTTTTTTTTTCATGTAAGAAATTTGTGTCACAGCTTTTACAGGTTAGAATGTCAGAAAAATAGGAGTGATTAAAGATACTTATTTGGGGCATGACTTTGATCAGGATGCATTGTACATGTATATTGGTTTGTTGAATTGAAATCCCTTTATGCAACTTAAAGATAACCAAAAAAATGAAAATAAATGGTACTTATTAAGGTTAGAGCAAAGCCATAACTATCTGAACTTATTGTAATATAAAACTAAGGATCTAAGAAGCAACTTTCAGCTTTTCTAGTATACTTGATGTTTGACCCTGATGTAACCACATAATTCCTTCAAACAATCATTCTAAATATGTAACTTCAACCCACAAAAGGGTATGAGGTGTAGAAAGAGGTAGGGAGAAAGGGAGAAAGATTGTTTGTGAATAAATGTAATGTGAGTGACAAGAATGTAGTTTATAAAAATGCTAAAACAATAAAAGGATAGCAGTACAACTCACCAGGGCAATCTTCCTTTAGCATGGCTAGTATTGTGTTTTAATTTTATTACTACATTGTCTGCAAAGTACCCAATTATTTCAATTTTATTTATCCTGAGTATGCTAATAGTCTAAAGATGACAAATGTTGGGTATTAGTAATTCTGAATGAGCGTTTACTTTTCTGTGATTGAAAAAGAAAACTATTCATTTCAGGTTGTTAAAAATGATATATACTTATATATTCATACAATAATTCATAACCTGGTTTATAAAATATAGGTAAATGAAAAGATTCTAAAATAATATTCATGTTTGCTTACCTTCTTGCTTTGAGGCTTTATATATCTCCTTTTAAATATAATTTGAGAAAAAATTGTAGTGCAGTATTTTATATGGCTTGCTCTAGTTTTAATGTTTTAAAGAAAATTTGAGAGGCATAATCAAATGCATGGCTCTTGTGCTGAAAATTCTCTGATTACAAAGTGAGCAATTGATAAATACAGTGAACTCTTTTAATACATTCAGTCAAGCTGTCTTCTAAAGCGGCTGTATCAGCTCTGCATTCCTAGGGCAGATCCTGTGTATTTTCATTTCTGGGTTTAGACATTCAAATAAAGAGTGAGACTAAAATAATGATTACATTAGTAAGTCCTTATAAGTAACAGATGTAGTGACCATATCCTCGATCCTCACCCTTTGCTACCTGCTGCTATTATGTTTAGGACTTGTTAATATGAAATATATACATATATATAAAATGCATGCACACATGCATGCTGAATTAACTTAAAAATCAATTCAATCACCCAGGTTGTACTTTTATTTTTTTCATAATTTATTTATTTGTAGATTAAAGCATTCTGAGAATAATACTCTAAAAATTTACCTAAGTAATGGCTTATCTAAATTAGAATTTTCTACAATATAAACTGAGAATTTAAAACCTATATTGCTTTGATTACAGAAATACTTCAGACCTCATTTTTTTAACCCAGTACAAGATCATAGAATTCATGGTGTATCAGTTTTTAATAGTAATAGTTAAGGTATCAAATAAAATTAAGAAAAAATTAGCAGCCTTGAAAAGTAACAACAGTTCATTAAAAATAATTAGATGTCAGTAGTTGCTTGATGTGAATTAAAGAGTCAAGGAAATTGAAGAGATAGAAGAGATTGTGTATTAATGAACTGTAACTAGATGATAAATAAACATCGTTATTTATGAGTATTACTATAAAGGCCATGAATGTTTAACAAAAATACAATGTCCCTCTTTTCCTGTGATGTTCTGTATGCATAATATAAATATTCATGAATGGTGAGTATCAGTTCAGGTTATCTATTTGAATATAAATTTTCATATATCTCACCACTTGGAGTTCATTGGATCATGCTTTTGAATATGAATTCTCCAGTATCTCAGATGCACTATGGATCTAGCCCAACTCATGAATATTCAGATACACACGCACACACACAACTGATCTTTCTGAAAGTAATCACATTCATAAAGATGAAAATCTTGTTAGTCTTCAATAATGAGAACTGCATCAGGCTGCTTGTCCCTGAACAATTTTAACAATTCTTTTGTTTTCATTTTTTGTAAATGATACCAACTAAGGGAAAAAAAATAAAAAGATGCTTTGTATCTTTCTAGACTGAAACTCTTTTCTGTTTACCTTTATAAAAGCTTGTGTGTGATTTAATCATGGTTGATATGTTTGGTTAGTTCCCTATGGTCAGAGAAAAGAGGGAAATAAGACTGTCTCTACAATCAATATCCAAAGCACATTTCTGCTGATTAGGCTTGAGCAGAATCTCAAAAGCAGAGTTTAGTAATAATCTTTTCAGCTATTGGAAGCTTGATGATTACTTTACATGCAAAAAATGCCCTGAAATTTATCTATATATATTGAATATAGAGGGTACTATATTCCGTAACAGATTGATTTATAATGCATTAGAGTTAGGATGCTAAATGGAGGCTCATAATTATAAAGTATATATAATCTTTTCTCATATCAGAAATATATCACAATTTTTTAACTTCACTGGAATAAATTATCTATATCTAGAATAGTTATCCAAATCTGTTAGTAGTTACAAATAGATATCAAAATCAATCACCTTGTTCCAATTAGAACTATATTTTAAATATTAAGTAACCAAGGGAGCACAAATAGATATGAAGACTCTTATTCATTGATGAGGTATTTAAAGTATTAACTAGTTCCTATTTTTCTAACAGTGTTATCTTCAACCTTTTTTGGGGGGGGGGTCCTGTCGTGGGGCCTGAACTCTGGGCTTGGGCGCTGTCCCTCAGCTCTTCAGCTCAAGGCTAGCGCTCTACCACTTAAGCCACAGTGCCACTTCTGGCTTTTTTCTTTTTGCTTATGTGGTGCTGAGGAATCAAACCCAGGGCCTCATGCATGCAAGGTAAGTGCTCTACCACTGAGCCACCTTCCCAGCCCCATCTTCAACCTTTTGAATGAGGTTGTTCTTATTCAGACTAAACATACACACATACATACACATACACATACACATAAATATATATGCCATTTGTAACCTGTGCTCAATTACAAATGTTTCGAATTCTCAAGAGTTGAAGAGTGTTTTTTTAGACTCCACCCTAGCATACCTGTGGGTTTCTTCAGCAAGACCAAAAAAGTCAGTGGGAGATTATTACCCCACTTTCCTTCAGTTTTGTGTCTCTGGATAGCTTTTGGTAGTTTGAAGCTGAGACATGATATAATTTTGCCTGGCATCACTGGGGAAAGGTACTATGCTATGTAATTCTTGATGATTAGAGATACATTCAATATGCATCAGACAGCAATGAATTTTGTCTGCTGAAAAATTAATTGAGCCACCATGAAGAGCAATGAAAATGTGTATTACTTTATAAGTTTAGACTTATTTTTTAAAATATGAGTATGAGTGAATTGACTTTTTTCCCCCTTTCTTGTTAGCAACAATTGTGTTAAATGAGCTCAATTGGACCAGTGCCTTAGATGACGTTTTCAAAAAAAATCGCGATGAGGACCCCACATTGCTCTGGCAGGTGTTTGGCAGTGCCACCGGCCTGGCTCGTTACTATCCAGGTGAGTGCTTACTGACTCAGTAGTCATCAACAGGAATTGGAAATACAAGCTTTATGTTTTTCTTTTCTTCCTTTTTTTTTTAAAACTAACTCTGCAATTTGGATATTGGGCCACACTATTTTTATAATGAGAATATATGCCTCATCCCATAACGCTAACTTGGTCAAAGTCACATTAAACTGAAACACCTGAGTAGTTACCATGAGCAAGGTTTGGATGCGGGTACCCGCGCAGTGCTACAATGCGGTCTGCTTAAAGAACATGGAGTAAACCCTCAAGTGTACTAGATGGTAAGACTTTACAACTGACCCGAAAGAGTTTTCTGCAGAATCCAGGTGTATGTGAAAAATTTATAATGGAAGAATATATTTCTCTTTTATCAGTGAATGAGCAAACTTGGATTTGTTAAGATAAGTATGTCAAGAAGTAAGATGAAATAAAAGCAACCCTTTTCACACACATAATAAACCTGACATGATATCCCTTGAAATTACATGAAGTCTGATAAACATTTTCATGTACAATTTTAAAGTGAAAGGAAAATATAGCTTTCTGTGTTTGTGTCAGGTTGAATTCTAAGGGCATCTCAGTGATCACACATATTCAATGAACATGACTATGCTTTTTAAACTAAAATAAAAAAAACTCAGTGTTCTTTATTATTATAAAAGGTTTTTAGATGAAATCAGGAATAACTTCTAAAAGAAAAATGAAACATGAAAAAGTAGTATACCCTCATAACCTACTGAAAAGACTTTCTGTGAAATGTCTGTTGGTATTATGAACTTCTCCACTGTTAGAACTAGCTGATCAACACTACTATATATATATATTTTCAAAGGTATGGTTTCTTTCTCTTCCTTCACTCACTTTCCCTTTCTTTTGTAAAGCCTCTAATATCTTTATATTTTTCCATGGAATATTTATTTTTTAATTCATAGTTAGTCCTTGATTCACGTTTTAAAACTCTGTATCTGACCATTTTCCAAGTAATGCCTTGTGGTCAAGTTTCTCTTTCTCCTTCCAATAAGAAAGACACTGCCTTACCCTAGCATTTCATTGTCTACAATGTTAGTATTGTTGTATCTATATAATAAATCCCAAACCATTCTCCTATTCAGAGCCACATAATCTGTCATTCATAAACCTTTGGAAGCCAGATATGTAGAACCATATCCGTAATCCCAACATTTGAAAGGCTAAGGCAGGAGAACCTCAGGTTTGAGGTCATGGAGAGATTTATCCCAAAATGAAAACAAAACAGAATACAATAAAACAAAACAACAACAGAAAATGAATAAAATGGAAGACATCTTTTGAGTGAGCCTTACTTATTTCTTTTGCTATTGGAAGTCATTATTACTGATTACTGGTCCCTAGCCTCCTGCAGTACTGTTCATGCCTTGTCTTTTGCTCTGTAACTTCCTTTTTCCATAGGAAGGTTTTGCCCTTTTTTTCCTTCAGTCACTTCATTCTTTTGTTTTTGTTGTTGGTGGTAGTGTTCCTGGGGCTTGAACTCTGGGCCTGGGCACTGTCCCTCAGTTCTTCACCTCAAGACTAGTGCTCTACCACTTGAGCCACAGTGCCACTTCCAGTTTTCTGGTGGTTAGTTGGAGATAAGAGTCTCACAGACTTTCCTGATCCTCAGATCTCAGCCTCCTGAGATTACAGGTGTAAGCCACTGGTGCCTGGCTTCAGTCCCTTCATTCTTAATCCATAGTTTATAAACTTCTCCCATGACTGTAGTCCATAACTACTTCTTTTTCACAATTTTTATCAGAAATCTATCACTTCAGTCTGTCTAATGTATGTGGACTTAATCAATTACTCATCCGTATTGTAATTGAGATCCAGCAATATGTAACTTCTGATACTTTGATTAAAATTTTCATGTAGGCAGAAAAAAAATTATAAAATGCAAGTTGTCATAGGATAGCCGAAGCAGAGAGATGGTTATTGTCCCCAGCATCTCTCCTTTGTCACTAGTACAGTATATGTTTTCAGCCGGGTTTCAGACCATATTAAAAAAAAAAAATTCTGTTACTACACGGTATATAAATTCTCTCCCATGTCAGGTAAGAAATGTCCTGTGTGGCTGTGGGGAAGTTCTCCTAGAATAGAGGAGGGCACATGTCTTTGTCTTTTGAGAAAGAACACAAACAATGGTGTCTGAGATGTGAGGCAGAGGCCTTATTAAGAACATTTCAGAGAAATGAGATGAAACAGAAAGCCCTTCTAGACTCTCCTCACTGATGCTATGTATCACAGATTCACATCTATGAAAATAAACTACCTTAACCCTAAAATCACCATTTTTTATTTTTTCCAGTAGGTAGCTAAAAAGAGTCCTCAAAGACACACTGGTCTTTTAATTATTTGTGTTATCCAGTTAGACTTACTTCTATGGGAAAGCTTTCCAAGAGCAATCTTATTCTCTTGTTCTTTGATTTTGTGTGTGTTACAACAGACAGCCAATTTTGTCTTCTTTCAGAAGTTGTTTAGAGTATACCTTTTTTTTCTCTCAAATCATCACAATTTATGTAAGCATGGGATGTGATTTATTGTATCTTGAGGGCTACAAGGTAACTAGATATAGAGCCCTGTATGTACAACATGATGGGCATTAATTAAATTAAGCCGAACATCCAAGTAAAATTGTAGGCAGGAAACGTATAATTCAGTGTTATGGTAAAAATTCAGATAATTCATTTTCTCTAGCATGTCAAGTGCCTTTACATATTTTCCCCCCTGTGAAACACACTCAAGTATTCTCCTAAAATAGTCCAAAGTCCCCACAACAAAATGAACAACTCAGTATTCAAGCTCTGTTGATTATATGTAACAGTCTCATCACCTACTATGAATTTTTTTACTTTGACTACCTAAGTGTGACAGAATACTGAATATTTTCTCTACCATATTCATCCCAGTTGCTGCCCAAATATGCCTGAATCTGTTGAATAGCTTCAATTCAAAGAGTTGGAAAGAGTAAGGAATGCCAAATACAGATCCCTCTGTTCTGTCAGGGAAGAAATATAAAAATGTCTTTATTTACATAAAGCAGGTTCTTCACCCCATCTGACTGTTCCTTGTACGTTCTGTGGGGATCACACTGTAACAGTCCCTGAATCACTTCAGGGCACAAGTGCTGGAGTATGCTTGGGGCTAAGCAGCTCTCTTAGATTATTGGTTTCTAGTTCAGGTCTAAAAGCTTGAAGTTGATTTAGGGTTCAAACAGTTATATTGCTTCTACAGATTTAGCTAAGGATTCATTACTAATACACACAGTATAAACATCAAGGCCAAGTTAACTCCTACTATTATTTTCTTACAGTGAATTTCTTCTGTTAGCAATCTCAGTTCTAAATTTTATTTAAGTAATTGTTAAGTCTGACATCTTCTATGTATTAACTAGGCTTAGAATTTAGCCCGTTCACATTTCTCATGTCAGAGGTGGCTTCTTTGAAGATACTGCTGAGAAAAGAAAACTAATCAGAATTAAACAATGGTGGACATTACTAGATATTTGATTTCATCTCCTCTTGAATTTTACCCAGTTTTATTACTGTGTGTGTGTGTGTGTGTTTGTTGATTGGCCCTAGAGCCTGAACTTAGGGCCTGGACACTGTCTTTGAGCTTTTTTGATTAAGGCTGGCACTCGACCACTTGAACCAAAGCTCCACTTCCAGTTTTTTTTTAAACTGGTTAACTGGAGATAAAAATCTCATGAACTTTCCTGCCCAGGCTGTCTTTGAACTATTCCCCTTAGATCTCAGCCATGCATGAGTAGCTAGTGTTGAAGGTTTGAGCCACTGGCACCTTGCCAATTTGTTACTTTGTTATAACACATAAGAAGAAAACATAAAGAAAGAAGGGTTTGTTTAGCCTCATGGTCACTTGATTCCTTTGTTAAAGTGCCCAAGTATGAAGAGGCAGAACGTTGCGGTGAGAAGCATGGAGTGGATCAAAGAATCTGACTTCACGGTGAAGAGGTGGCCTTGTGACATGGAGGCCTGGGACAAGAATATAGTTCACTAACTCTGAAGATTTTTACCACCTCTCAATAATGCTATTTAACGATCAGTTCATTAGTGGATCAGTCTATTGATTAGCTCATATCCCTCAGGACTCAGTCACATCTCAACAATGCACACATCTAGGCCTTTTGGTGGACACTATAGATCCAAACTATAACACAGAGTGGAGGTTGTCTGCTACTGTCAAAGTTCAGTCCTCCCATTTCATGGTAGACATTCTTTCGAAAATGACTGCTTGGCAATCTATTTATCGGCCAGACCCCTTTGTGTCTGTGTAGAACCATAGAAAATAGTTTCCAAATAGAAGATGAGTGAATTAGTATGTGTTGCTTCAAGGTCGAGTCTGGGAGGATTTGAGCATGCCTTCCTATGGAATCTTCCATTACCAACTGCTTGTATGAAAGCTGAAGATGGTGAAAGCGATCCTCAGCTTTACATATCTGGTAATTGCTTGGCGAAGCAGTCACATGAGTGAGAATTAACTTTATTGCTAAAACATGAATATCTGAGATTGAACTTTAAGGCATTTTGTGGCACCCCAGTGGCTACAGAAAAAGCTTTCTTTATCTTGTCCAAGATACATTCTGAAGACATCAGTTATTTGTTTTCCTCTAATGTGAGTACATAATTCACAGTTATTTAAGCAACCTAATTCACCCTGGACCTTGGTGTGGACGCTATTAGGGACTGTGGAGACTCTGTAATGGAATGGTAGTTATGAGTAGCACCACTTTCCATTACTGGAAATTTGGTGAGTTATCCAGTGTATTTATCAATGAATTGATTTTTACTTGAAAGCAAAATCTATTGAGTTTGTTGGCCCTGTCATTCAGAGATGCCTGATAAACGCCTAGAATTATAATACATCAATTAGATCCAGGCAAGGGGACCAGGGGAAATATTTCAGGGCATTCTTATTAAATCTTCTGCCACCGCCACCTCCTCCTCCCCTCCCTCTCTCCT